GACGCATGCCGCCTGGTAGAGACCGAGAAAACGTCATCAAGTTCTTCAAGAGAGCGTTGTTTCGTCTCTGGAAGGAATAGAAAGATGAGAATCAAGCATATAACGCCAAAGACAGAATAAAGTGTGAAGACTCCCTGGGGCTTGATGGCCTGGAGAAGTGGCGGGGATGTTTGTGCCACGACGATGGCCCAGAAGTTGTTCGTTGCGACGGCCCAAGCCATGCCAACCTCACGATGTGATAGAGGGAAAACCTCGGCCGAATAGACAAACGCCACTGGCCCCTCTCCCGGACCATAGAATGCGGCGAAGATATAAATGAACAAGCAAATAACGCCGAGGTGTGAGGGACTACTCTGCGGAATGTAGAAGGCCATGCCTGCTGCTAGCATAGCCCAGCACATGTTCGGAAAGGTGACCAACAGCAGCGCTCTGCGGCCCCAGCGATCAATGGTCCACAAAGCCGGGATCGCGAAAAGGAACATTGCCATACCATATCCCCATGATGCCAGAAGAGCAATGGTGTTACTTGCCCCTGCTTCCACAAAGAGCGTCGAGGAGTAAAATGACATGAGATTGACTGCGGTTGTTAGTCAAGCGTTCTTGAACATTTCGGGAGTACGTTGTCCTACCTCCACAAAACTGCTGAGCAGCCATGATAACACCTGATGCTTGTGTCGCCCGACGGACCCTGGGGATGGTAAATAACTCCACGCATCTGGTGAGAAAGTTGCTGTCACCAAGCCCGTCAGCCTCCACTAATTCTTGCTCCTTTTCAAGCTGAGCGTTGACGAAGTAAAGATCCCTAGCGGCGAGTAAATTGTTGCCACGTAATCTCAGGAGTGACTCGTAGGCTTGGATAAACCTGCGCTTCTTCAATAGCCAGCGGGGTGATTCAGGTGTAAAGTAGATTCCCAGGAGCAAAGGTACTGCGGGGATCATGGCGGAACCAAGTTGAAGTCTCCAGGCGATGTCCCCAAACCCAACCAGAGCGAGATTTGCAAGGAATCCAAGCATGATCCCAAAAGCGCTGAAAAGTTGCCACGACATGACAAGAGCTCCACGTATGTTAGGTGGTGAGTTTTCAGCCGAGAATACGGGCACAGTAACTTCTTTCAGTCCCATTCCCATACCGAGAAGAATTCTGCAGATCAAGATCTGTGGCCAAGTCTGGCAAAGGGCTTGGCCTACGGGGCCGAGGATGCTGAAGATGGCGCCCAGGAAGATTGCACCGCGTCTTCCGAACCAGTTATTGACGGGATCAGACAGCCAACAAGCGCTGTTAGTACGCACAGGTAGTCAGTGATATGTCCATTATGGAATTGGCGAAGGACTCACATGACGCAAATAGCCATATACGGCGCGCTGTTGATGGCACCAATGATCCAGGAGTTTCTTGCACATGTTCCGGCTATTAAGCAGGCCTCGCCTTTGTCCGCAATCCCAAATGCTTGTGGAAAAGATAAATTTGCTCCATTTGACCCTGTTTGGTCCCAGCCCTGTATTGCTGCGCTCACCGAGTTCATAAGAATGGTGAAGTAGAGAGCTTTGGGATGCTTCCAGCGATGCTCGATTTCGTTTCTCAGAACGACTCGATCCTCTTCATTTAGCTCCGGTATGTCTTCGTAGGCTTTCGGAGTCTGTGCAGCCAACGCCCCCTTTTCGAAGTAGGTGATCTCGTTTTGAAGGCCTAGGCCGATAGCGAAAAGCCTTGCATCGATCTTGAGCTGTTCTCGGGGAATACCTTCAAGAGGGTTGCTCGGCCTGTGAGTCCGTAGTTTTAGTAAGAAGCATAAGATTAGACCGGGCTTCTTGGTGGTAGCCTACTCTCCAGTGACCATCTGGCTTTCACTGCGGCGAGGATTGTCATGGCGACTGATTTCGACAGCATTGCCCACTTCAAAGCCGCTCTTGAAACTTAGACGGTCAGTTGATTGTTTGACCAAGTATGGATGTATTTTGAGACTTACATGGTGTCATGTTTCTCTAGAGGTGAACTCGACATCTTGGCGGCTGATGGTTTGATACAGGAATAGGAGAGGTGGGAGGATTGAAATCTGGCAACAGAGCACCTTCTTGTCTCAGGAAGACTGGTGGAAAGACGGGAGAACGGCGGAAGAACCCCCAAGTAGTGATACCTATGGCTTATGAACCTTGAAAGACAGGCGCTGGAGTGACTATTGACGTGTGTGGATCTCACAAGGTACCAAGTCTTCAAATCCGGCTGTCGGCAGTCCGAAAGGTTTTTGGAATGGGGTTTCAAGTTTTGTCAACGATGTAGCATTTTATCGACGTAATGCATATTCAGTTGGGTCAAGTCACGCCCATTTTGACGGGTCTCAGGGCTCGAAGGGTACATAAATCAGGATGACCCTATGCCGGATGGCCGCCTTGGAGTCCGCGAAGACGACATACTAACTCCAATTTCCAACGTGGATGGTATTCGCAAAAGAATTTGGCTAGGCTTTGGGAGAAGGGCCCTCTGAAGTCCATGTACCTGTCACATGTGTCCTCCGAACATGAAAGAATCGCCTCAATGTCTTACCTACTTTAGGTAGGCGGCATGAATTTCTGTGGAGCTCGGGAGAACCTTAGAACCATCACAAATGTAACCTCTGTGGTCCTTACCGCTTCTTCAATCATGTTCTACTTTTCTGGCAGATCGATTTGTCGTTAAAACACCGTCCATTTGATACTATTTCCGAATACGTACCTCTTTAACACTATGTAGTGGAAGACGCTTCAACATCCTGCGAACTTTGATATTCGTGTAGTTCTCAATGATGGTTCTCAAGATCTTGATTCAGCACAAGAAAACTACACGATAACCAGCGCGCTGCGCAAGCCATGGCGCCGGCTTGAGTACCACGAAAAATGTGAAAGTCTGATTAAAGTGACATATAAACTTGTTTCTGATGCGAGAAATCCCCCGCTGAAGAAAGGAAAGACCATGCGGTTCTTCAACTGCTGCTCCAGGCTTGCTTCATCAAGTTTGAGACGACGAAAAGTAATAGTTGGGGACTTGATAAGCTATTCAAAGGTTCTCGTCAAAGTCCAACACCGCAGTGGCTTGATGGGGCCAAGCTTTCGACTCTACCTTCCTTCTAATCCTGGCCGCGGTGTCGGTGCAACCCTAGACCCATTGAAGTAGGCCATTGGCCGCTGATTTGTCGAATGAGTTGTATGTATCTTGAACTTGTCTCATACGTGGCAGTGGACAGTTTAGTTGCTTAGTAGTGCTAATCAAGTGAGAGCGAATGAGTTTTGAGAAGTTTGAACCGGGGCTGTTACAATGTTCGCTCTCGTCTCGACTTTCCTTCCCAGTCGGTGACGAGAGGTGGAGACATTTCGCCCCGGCCCAACGTCTCGCCCCGTCTTAAGGGCGCACGATATGTCAAGACATGCTTGACGCAGGACGCAGAATATAAGTTGGGCAAAGCGTCGCAGTTGTGAAATGAGGAGAAGAAGAGCGAAAGACACGCGTCTTGGGCCATTTCAACCAACACATCATCTCCAATCGGTGAATTAGAGCACCGGTACAAGCTGCAACATCAAATCAGAGGCCCAGTTCACAACATCAACCAACGTCATGGTCCAGATCAAAGCTTTCGAGGTAGAAGAATGGATGGATCGTCTCGAGACAACGCCTGGTGCTCTCAACATCGCCGAAACATGCTGCGAGTCTGTGTCGATCAAGGAGTTGACAGAGCTGTCGAGCGACAAGTCGGCTGCGGGCCCCCTTGACATTGCAACCCGACGAATGACTTACGGCGCCATTTACGGATCAGAGAAGACGCGCCAGCAGATCGCCAACATGTACGCAAACGATGTTTCGGGCTCTCTCCCCAGCGATCAAGTCGTCATTACGCAGGGAGCCATCGTTGCCAACTTCCTCACTCTCTACACCCTCGTCGGCAAGAATGATCATGTAATCTGTGTATACCCGACCTACCAACAGCTGTACGAAGTTCCCAAAAGCTTGGGCGCTGATGTGAGCCTCTGGAAATTGAAGGCTGAGAATGGATACCTCCCGGACATCCGAGAACTTCAAGACCTGGTGCGAGAGAATACCAAGGTAATACAACCATACTTCAGACGAGTGGTACCCACGGCTAACTCGTAGGACTAGATGATCATTATCAACAATCCCAACAATCCCACTGGTGTCACTACGCCCAAGCATGTTCTAGAAGATCTCGTCGCGTTTGCCAAGTCGAGAAACATCATCGTCATGGCCGACGAGGTATATCGACCCCTCTTCCACAGCCTTCCTGTAGGAGAAAGCATGCCCCCATCGATCCTGTCTTTGGGCTATGACCGAACCATTTCTACCTCGAGTATGTCGAAAGCTTTCTCTCTTGCCGGCATCCGCGTGGGATGGATCGCATCGAGAGATCCTGGAATCATTGAGGCCGTCAAGAGTGCGCGGAACTACACGACCATCAGCGTCTCGCAGCTGGACGATCAAGTGGCCGGCTATGCTCTCTCTGATGCGGTCAGACCAAACCTCATCAATAGAAACATCGAGCTTGCAAGGACAAACCTTGAGATCCTCGAGACCTTTATCAAGAAGCACCAGTCTGTTTGCTCCTGGGTAAGGCCCACAGCCGGTACAACGGCAATGATTGGCTTTCGAAGAGGCGACGAACCAGTTCGAGATGACGAGTTCTGTCTTGAAATCCTTAAAGAGACTGGGGTTTTGATAATGCCTGGGTCTACCTGTTTCGGTGAGGGCGTTGACTTCAAGGGCCAAATGCGCTTTGGTTACGTATGTCGGACAGAAGTGCTGAAAGAAGGCCTGGAGAAACTGAGTGTTTATCTAGAGCAGAGCTTCCACTAATTGTGTTCAAAAGGGGACACTCTAAGTAGGCACATTTGGGTCGACAAAGGACTTGGCACAAGTACCTATCCTCTGCAATAGAAACGAATCGTCAATCTTAGCCTATTCGCTGTATGAACTTCAAACCAGTATCCTTTTCTCTTGTAAATCAATCACCGCCCGCTCATGACTCTTTTGTAGCTTCTTCCTCAAATTGTACCAAGACCGTTCCGGCTTTGCAGATATCCTAAGACAGTGTCAGTGAGGGGCGTGCAACTTTGGAAAAATAGGACTACTCACGCCTTCCTTATGCGCCAGCTTCTTGACCACGCCGTTTTGGGGTGACCGAATAACAGTCTCCATCTTCATAGACTCGATACTGTGTGTCAAAATTAGCCACTGGAAGTCATCTTGTGACAGCGGTCTTGGGTCGGGTGGTACTGACACAACCAACGGAGCTCCCTTTGCTACGGCTTGCCCTTCTTCCACTTCGTTCTTCAGAATCTTACAAGGCATTGGTGCAACGACAGACGCGGTAACCTCCTTCAAACCGAGGGCCTTCTCGAACCAGCTTGGTGGCAGAAGAGAAAGCTCGGTCTTGATGCCATGTTGGAACACAGCAATCTTGGTATCCTGCTCATGCTGTAAACTCTGCACAACCGTCGACTCCAATCTCTCGTTGGGAAAGAAAGTTGTCAACGCATTCGTTGACGACGACTTTGGTTGGAATTTGCTGATGAGGTTCTCGAAAACCTTGGGCGGCTCCTCTCCCTTCCTTGTTACACGCGCCTCAAAGAGTTGATGGGACTTTTGTGTGATGCTGACTTCAACAACTTCTCCCTCTTGCTCACTGTATGAATCGAGCACCTTGAAGGCAAACTTGCGCTCGCTGAGGGTGCTGGCCTCGCCAAAGCCTAAGCTACCTCCATGGGGAGCAGCATGTGATAGTTGTGGGGATAACGAGCTGAGGGCAGCCTGGACAAAGACTTCGTCATGGATTGGCCGCGGCTTGAAAAGCTCATCTCTCCACTTGTCGATGAACCCTGTCTCGACGTCGCCTTCTATGAAAGCTGGGGACCGGCAAAGACGTTTAAGGAACTCGATATTGGTGCTGAGACCGACGACTTCATACTCACGGAGAGCCAGTTCTAGCCTGCGAATAGCTGTTTCTCTGTCCTTGCCGCGAACAATCAACTTGGCAATCATGCCATCGTAGGCTTCCGAGACAGTATCACCCTGGATAAAGCCGGCGTCGATGCGAATGTCCTCGTTCGTCTTCGGCGTGGTGAGGTGAACCAACTTGCCTGAATCAGGCATGAAGCCCTTCTCCGGATTTTCGGCATAGATACGAGCCTCAATAGCTGCACCGTGCTGCTTGATGTTCTCCACAATCTCCTCCTGTGTCATAGGTAGCTTCTCGCCAGCAGCGACGCGGAATTGCCATTCGACGAGATCGGTGCCGGTGACCATTTCACTAACGGGATGCTCGACTTGCAATCGGGTGTTCATCTCCATGAAGTAAAAGTCGCCAGTGTCCTTGTCAAGAATGAACTCAACAGTGCCAGCGCCAACGTAGTTGACGGCCAAAGCAGCTTTCCTAGCCTTCTCCCAAAGATCGAGACGAGTTTCTTCGTCCAAATCCGGCGCTGGAGACTCCTCAAGAATCTTCTGGTGTCGTCTTTGTACACTGCAGTCACGCTCCCCTAGAGCAACACAATTGCCCAGCTTATCCGCAAACACCTGCACCTCAACATGGCGAGGGCGCACAATGTACTTCTCCACCAACATGACCTCGCCACCCTCGCCAAAGGATGCGCGGGCTTCGGCGCGAGCACTACCAAGCTGGGCGGCAAACTCGTCCTCGGTCATAACGATGCGCATACCCTTTCCACCACCGCCCTTGACACTCTTGAGCAACACTGGGAACTTGATATTCTTTGCGTGTTCCAATAGTTGTGCCTCCCCCTGATCGGAACCATGGTACCCTGGAACACAGGGGACGCCGGCGTCGGTCATAATGATCTTGCTTCGTGCCTTGTCGCCCATATCGGTCATTGCCTGCGCCGGAGGTCCAACGAAGACGATGCCCTCCTTTTCGCATCTCTCGGCAAATCGAGAGTTCTCAGACAGGAAGCCATAGCCGGGATGAAGGGCTTGTATGCCGTGCTTCTTGGCTAGGGAGATGATGCGTTCGCCGTCTAGGTACGCTCTTGCGTCGCCCAGGTTCAAGGAATGCGGGGAGCACGCGGCATGCTGGCTGTTGCTGTCGGGGTCTGTATAGATAGTCGTCGTCTTGATTCCTAGCCTGTCCGCAGTCTTGTGGATTCGCAGAGCAATCTCGCCACGGTTTGCGATAAGGAGAGAGGTAATGGGTGTAATTTGGCTCGAAGCCGGCACCGTCTGGCCAGCGGCAGTGGAGAGGAGCCGAGGGAGGGGTCGGACGAGCCGGTGCTTCGCTTTCATGGAACGCATGATGGATGACTGAAGCTTTGTGACGTGGATTTCAAGCTTGGGGTATCAATTGAATGTTCATGGAAAGGAGGAGAAGAACGCGAAGTAAATGGCAGCGGAGGAAAGCGCAGAGCTCATTGCGAGTGCCCCAGGTAACCCGAGGTCTCAAAGCAGCTTCGGCTTGTTGCGCTCGATCATCTTGGAACAAGTGGTGCCGACAATAGCCGTGGGTGCTGAAAGCCGCTGAAAGGCGACCCCGGATTTCAGGCGGGACGTGCTCAGGTCCGGTAAGCTGCCCCCAAGCTGCCTTAGGTAAGGCGACTGCTGATAAGATTAGCATGCAAGTTCCTCGACGTCATTCCGCGAGAGCATGGAAGGTCCGATAGCTCTGCCCCGCATTAGTCAGCGTGGGCTGGGACCTTGCGCCCATCTTTCCTCTCCAGCCCGGTCGATCCAGACAGGGCTCCTTCGAAGGAAGCTCACGATACGTTACCCAACCTACACACACTGTCAAGAACAGCTTCATCAATATGGATCAACAAGTCCCTCTCAACTACGAAGCTTCGGCTGGCGAAACCAATAAGCAAGTTACGGCAACTCTTCCTCAAGAAGTCGTACAATGCTTGGAGAATGCTCGATTCGTAAGCTCTTAGTTCTTCTGCCCACCTCATTCAAGCCTTGCGATGACTCTTCACCACAACACCAATGTAGAAATGTAGCTGACGAGACTGCCGCATCGATAGCTTCACCTAGCAACATGTACCGAAAACACGCCGAACGTCTCTCTCATGAACTACACCTATCTGCCATCCTCGAACCACTCGGCCGGTCCCGTTATTGTCATGACCACGAACCCCGCCTCGAGAAAAACACAGAACCTTCTGTCGAATCCCAACGTTTCTCTATTGGTACATGACTGTATGTTGTAGCTCTATTGTGGTAGTGTGTTCGTCAAGATTGCTGACGGCTTCGTTCAGGGTCTTCCCATCGGCCGCCGACGTCTGGCCGACGGCCTTCAGGCGGCAGCCCCGGCCCAGAGCACCGCTCCAGCCTTGCATCCCTCCTATTGAATCTCAACACCGCGGCGGTCTCTAGTATTAGTGCTACAATCAATGGCACTGCCAGACTGGTTGATAATGGTTCGGAAGAGGAGAAGTTCTACCGCGAGGCGCACCTGGAAAACAACACATTTGACGAAGGCCAGAGCTTCAACCCAAGTGTTCAGGCCGAGGATGGTGGCAGGGGATGCTTTGTCGCCGGTGAGGAAGTACGAGTCATCGTGGTCAAGATCAAGGACGTGAGAATCAGTGATTGGAAGGGTGCAGTGAGGGATTACGTGCTGACAGAGGAGACCGCTGCTCCCCAGCTCAATGGTGTACGGTAGGATAATCTGGGATTCAAGTAACAATGCCATTGATATCTAGGCCACTTATCAAAGACTTGACGACCTCATGTGAGACAATGCTGGCGGGCGAATCTGGGATGAAGCCTTCAAGAGGCCTCCATTATCAAAATCTTGACGCTCATGTGCTGGCTTCAAGACTTTTACGCGGTTATTGCTATGCCTCGTAAACCCACATGCTATGTGACTGGCTGCGAAGGAGACAAGGATCCCAAAAGAAGCATCCATAATGATGCCCAATGGACGGGCAGTGATCACCATTTAGACTCGAGTTAGACTCATGGATTGACATGAGGCTTACACAGCACACTGGGTAGAAGTGGGCTGGGCACGATTCGACGCCCCAACCGGTAAGTCATATTCCTGGCCATTAAGCATCTTTTAGTGTAGGATTCTAGTATTTGGAGTCCTTCTGAGAGGCCGGCATGGGGCATCTCAAGGCTACTCGTCAGTTCATAGCAGCGATGAGAGTTTGCGCAGTGTGGTGCATGATCGTCGAAATACTACATTTACGTTAGTATTAGTAGTGTGGCAGCTGGTTGACGCATCATTTGATGATACCACAACAGCAAGAACTCTACTGGATAACGCAAAGCATTTCCTCAGGCGTCTGGGCAGAAAAGACAAGGTTGCAATAGAGAAAAAAAACAGGTAGCGTTGGGCATCGGGTGAACTGAGGGGGTCTAGGCATGTTGAACCACCAACCTTGCAGCGCGTAGGCTAGCTGCAGCGGCAGGCAGAGTGAAACATTCAGGGATCATGGCCTCTCGGGAGTTTCTGTAGCGGGTTTGAAAGCTCGGCACATTTTGTTTTGAGCCAAGTGGGATCTCTTTAAGCATAGCGTGCGCTGGTGTGCCAGTCAGGACCAGGTTTAGGGGCGACGCGGATAAAGGGCGAAATGGAGGCTGATCGGAAGTTTTGGGAGGGTTGCAGAGGTTTAGAGTGCATATTTAGACTCGACCAGAGCCACCGCCGGTTGGCACCGAGGAAAGCCCGAGGGTTTTTGACTCGGGTCCGCAGAGTCCGATTAAGGGATCACATCGGCAGATAACCGACCGACCGACCGCGGGGTTAGTCAAATCCCGCGGGGTGTGGTAGTTCATGCCAGCATCGAAGTGTGTGAATGGAAGAGTGCTAGAGGACTAGGAGTGGGATGCTTCAAACATTTTGGCGGTAAGTCAATGCACATAAATCCAAGTGACGTGAGTTCATTACAGTAGGTAAGTATTCTCTATGGGTATAATCCAGCCCATTCTTCTATACAGAGTAGATAGAATCGATCAGGTCAAGCCCGATCACAAAGGCTTCCTCGCCGTGACAAATGATCTATATAGTAAGAGTCAGTTAGCTGTTTCCCAGTGAAATCACATTCGTATCCCGAGAAACCTACACTTTGCCATACGCCTCGTTTGCGGTATCGCGCGACTCCTTGTGGACTCTCTTCAGGAGACTCCGGGTATCGTTCTCATCCCAACCGCCCCTGCCAAAGACTGCCAACGAGTAATTCTCCAAGCCTGATGTGGTGGCATGTTAGTTGAGGAAACTTGAAGTTGTTAAGAGTACGGACTCTGAACATACCATATTCCAGCATCTGAGCAAATTGTGCTCCTTTTCTGACCATCTTTTCATCATGTCCCACAGCCTGTATGGGAACCAGATCCGACCAACGCGCCACCTTCTCAAAACCAACTTCAGAAAACATGGCAGGAATCTTTGGCGTCGGGTCAAAGTCCACGCCTGCAATCTTGGCCATTTCCGAGAACCGCACCTCGAACTCGCGGCATGCCGTCATCCCGCCGTGATTCTCCTCTTCAGCCGTGGACGCAATGGGCTCGTCTCCGCTGCTGTCAATGAGGTCGAAGTACCTCGTCCTCACTTCGGCGAACTCAATCTGTCCACCGGGCTTGAGATGTTCGTACGCTTGCCGGAAAAGCGCCTTCCAGTCCGAGACGCCCCCGCCGACGAGGTTCCTCATGTGCACAAAGTCCAAGCTGTCCTTCTCACGAGCCCAGTCATGGTTTGCATCTTCTACTTCAAAGGCGACGTTGGCCGGTACAGTCGTGGGTAAGAGCGCGGCGGAGATGTCGATTCCCATGATCTTGGCCAGAGGGTACTGCTCGCCCATCTCAACGGCCCAATTGCCGGTCCCAGAACCAATGTCAAGAATGTTGAGAGGTCTGTCCTTGGGGAGCTTCGCCGCCGTCAGACCACCTTCTAGACATAGCTTGAATAGTTGATGCTGAATTTCTAGACGGGCTCGCTCGGATTCGTCATTCGGCATTAGTAGTACACCGGAACCGTGGTATGTGTGACCATAAGCCCGGATGGGCGGGAGCTCGTCAACAGAGACGGAGCTGAAATCAGACCCGGCATCTGAGTCGTCTTCGTCGCTGTCGTGGGCATCTTGGGTATTATCTGCTCGAGATGGCCTCCTCCGTTCTTTGTGGTCCGTCCGGTTTCTTGTGGCACCGGCAGCTTCGCCCCTGCGTCGATGGCCATCGCCGATGCCGGGGTCGCCAACAGCGTCAACGTCCTCACCCATTTCGCCGAGCTTTAGAAAAGACTCCGCCAAAAAGCCGTCACCAGGATTTTCTCTCAATTCTAGCTGGCGCCAATGTCGTATCTTTATCGCGTCTCTACGTTTGCAAAGAAACTTTAGTGTTCCGTCACTCTCTTAGAGCGACTCACTACACGGATGTTGTCTTCGCTCGCCAGATTTCCCAAATGGGGACTCAATCGTGGGCCCGGCCGGCTCGGGTGTAGTATGGCCACACGTGGGATGGCTAATAAAATTTCCCCAAAGGAGAATAGGAGGGAACGCAAGAGATGATAGATGAAATACCCAGGCCAATATCAGCGCGGGGAAGGTGGGTTACGCACAGAGTATCAATATGGATACATGAAGTGGTTTTTCCTGTCGAGGGTTGGCGGATGTCTTTGTATTCACCCTCTTGACAACCGGTGAGGTAGTCGATGAAGGATACTAGGAACCGAAAGACAAGGGGAGCCCGTTGGCTTCTTGAATGTTGACAAAGGATGATGGCAGAACAAAGGGGACGAGGACTACGCAATGCACAAGGCCAGACGGGAAAGGCTAATTTGAAAGGGGGGAGGGAGGACCTCATGAGGGAAATGGTCATTTACCGCGGGATACTTCAGAGCTTGACTTGGACGGGATTCGATGGATGGAACCTCCACCTGTAGTGCATCATTTTTCTCTTTCTCACTCTCTGTCCTCCCCTTGCTCCTCTGCCAGGACCTAACGCCATCGAATCACACTTGGCTTCTGATCGGAGCACTTGTCCCCAAGGAGCCACTGGCTAGAGAGGAGACAGCATGGGAAGTGCGGGAGGCGGTCGACGGCGGGCCATGGAGCATGGGATAGCATGTGCCGCCCAGGAATTGGTGAAATCCATGGAGAATTTGAAAACGTGAGAGAGGAAAAAAACATGAAAAAATTCAAGCCGTTGAAAAATCCCCTCCCTCTCCCCCCGACAAAAGATGTGCATGCATGCATGCATGCAGAGAGGGACCAAGAAAACAACGGGGCGGCTGGGCTGTGGCTGGCAAGTTGCATTTACTCTTTGCGGCAAGCCATCTCAACTTCTCAAATCGTAACCTGCCCTACCCTGTGCTTGTCCACACGGGCAGGGCCTGAGCTTGCCTGCAGTTGTACGGATAGTAGTGCTAGGATCAGAGAATGAGGCAGGGTACTCATGGCACTCGAGCTTGAAGCACGGGTATGATTTTCAGGGCAACACTTGTGAAAAAACACTTGCCAAAGAGAAACGCAAATCGAGTCAAATCCCGGTACACTCTCCCTACATTACAAACTGGGCTTATGCCAGCAATGTCTCTTTAGGGTATCTAAAACTTCATCTTCTCTCGAGCTCCCGTATCATACGCGCAAGGGCGTCAGTTTGGCGACTCAGTATCCTTATCCGCGCAAGGGATCCTGAGTCGGATACTCACCTTGTGCGTGAGGTAATTCCCACCTCACCTGTCTTTCTTGCTCTTTTATTCTGCAGAAGGAATTCTAAAAGCCTCTCTGCCATTTCACGCCGTCCGGTATACCAGGATGCGGCACGCCTCCGAACTACCTTGTTCGCATGTCCCAGGGTCAACCGGAGCCAAGCTCAACCCGGCATTCTCTTCACGACCTCGGTCACTGATGTCTTACCTTGGGAGTACCTTAAGCACTGTACAGTACACTATCGGTACTCTGAAATAACTGCCCAGTCAAAGCACGTCTCAACGCGTTCTCCCAAGGATCGGGATGCCACCCCAAATGTGAAGGTCTAGAATGGCCCTGGCGGGATACAACGCTGGCCGGTAGGATGCTTCATAAGGGCGCTTGCTCGCTCCTTTCCACAAAGACTCGTTTGCCAACGTGGTAGACTTTGTGGGCGATAGGACTCGAGAGCGGTGAACGGTGAACGGTCCTGGGACTGATTCCTCGCCTGCCCTCGAGTTCCACCGAAGAGATCGTTGGTTCCTGGGCTGTCTTAGGTTCTGCAGGAAGCCCGGTCCGAGCCGGCAGACCAACCGCGAAACGAGAGACCATTGTGATGACGGTTGCTTTGTAACTTGTCAACTATCCTCCAGCGGAAGTCTCCCGATGGCAAGAGGTCCTGACGACCCGTATCCGTATGAACTGCTCGCATCTTCACGCTGCCCACCAAAGCCACGAGGGAGAACAAGGCAGGGGGGCATGGGGCCGTGGTCGACTTGCCTTCCTTGGGAGCTCCAACCGCCCAGGGTGCCACGCTGTGTTTGCCTGTCAAATGGAGCTAACGGCGTGGCAATCATGTACGCTAGCCTCTACGGATACAGCAGAAGCTAGCCCGCTGCTCCATTGTCTGTGGTGGTTTAGCTGAAGTGACGCTGTTCTTCCCTTCCCTTCCTTCCAGAAGCCCAGCCCAGCTCGGCACATGGATAATGGAATGTGGCAGTTGGCGAAATGAAAAATGGGTTCATCAATGCGGTGAGGCAACGCAAACCAATAGCTCGACGACTATCAAGCATCATGATCCGGATTCTCTCTGGTAATCAATTTATCAGCTCCTACTGACGTACTTGACGCCAACGGCAATGTTTTGATGAGATGGTCCTCTTAGAAGAACCCCGTCACTTGGAATATGTCGTAGTTATTGGTTTTTAGGAATTTAATTCCCTCAAAATGAAATACCTACAGAACTTGGCATTTGGTGTTTGGTAAATGTTCTGTCGATTCTTTTATTGGGCCACCATCAACGCTGCCCACAAAGACAATGTTTCCCACCCCACCGGTCGTTGGCTTCTCATTTATACAGGTTAAGAGGACCTTGCAGAGTGCAGCTTGAGAACGAACGGACACCGGGCTTTAACCCGCATCGGAGATGCCGGTTGCTGCTGCAGCGTCCCCTGTGTTGTGTTGCCTCTGAGAGAGAAGAGGAGAGGGGTAGCGCCGCAGCGGCGCGACCAACAAACTTGAGCCTCTCTCTTGACTCACGTCTCCAACTTGTCACGGGCGGCGAACTTGACCGACATAAGGCCTCAACTCAGCTATCGCGAGCCATTGAAAGGGATATGACCGCTCGCAGCAGCCAACAATTCGTCCGCCAGCTCCATCACATCATTTGCATGTACGGCCTAGTTGAAAGGTACCTCGACGCGCCGCTTAGAGGCAATGGGTCTCAACGTAAGCTTCGAGCGCTCCCCTTCCGGGATTGGATCAGTGGTTCGCTCGCTCGTAACCGTTATGCACCAGCGCACCAAGTTGTCACAAAAGGCGCATCCCATACCACCAATCAACCTCTCCTCCCTGCTATCCTTCGCCCTGTACAGCGAAAGCCTTTCTTAAACATGATTTCACCAGCCAATATCAGATGGCTAAATAGCCGCGGCTGGCGCTGCTCCATACGTATATCAATATGTCGGCATTTGAAGAGGGTATCTAGATAGGGTCCCTTTGAACAACGCCGGGCAAGGTAGGTGAGGATGCGCAGCCAAGGCAAGGGAAGTGGAGATGTGACGGTAACCCCAGTCCATCTCGTGAGACGGCAAGGGCTTCGACGAGCTCCATAGTCGCGTGGCTTGACGTCTTTCCCAGGCTGATCCGATATGGGATGAAATATCTTAAAAAGTCCAAACAAGTAGGTAGTAGAAAAACGCGCTCCGCCAAACTCCCGACCACTAGACCGTTTCGATGTACCGTTTAACTTCCCTGTGTAGATACTTCGTTAGCCATGTTCATCTTCATCGCCATCAGATGTTACTCCGAGGGTTGTCACATACCAGTCTGTCACGGCCTCGTCCCAGACCCGAATTTCGTGATCTCTTGTTCCGCCAAAGTGATCGACAAAGTCATCACCGAACACTTCTCTTGCAATGCTCTCCTTTCGCATGAATCGATCATTTGCTTCACGCAGACTCTTTGCAAGCCGCACGCCCTTGTCAGCTTTACCGCCAACATCCTCGCCCTTGCCCAAAGGCGGGACGGGGATCTCCAGCTTCTTCTCCACGCCTCGCCATCCGAGGGCGAGAATTGCTGCCAGAACGAAGAAAGGGTTGGTGTCTGCGCCCGGAACACGAACTTCGAATCGCGTTGCGCCAGGCTTCGATGTCGGTGGGGCGATGAGGCGAATTGATGCTGCTCTGTGCTCCAAGCCCCATGATACTGTCACTGGCGCCCAAAAGTTCTCGACAAGGCGTTTGTAGGAGTTGACTGTGGGTGCCAGCATGGTCATGACATCTGGAAGACCCTCCAGCAAGCCGGCCAGGAAATGCCGGCCCAGATCGGAGAGATTAGCGACGTCGGGGTATGGCGCATTCTCATCCTTCGTCTCCCGAGCGAAAAGGTTCTTGCCATCCTTATCGACAATGGAAACGTGCATGTGTCCGCTGTTTCCAGGCAAGCCCTGCTTTGGCTTCGCCATGAAGCACGGCGTAATGCCGTATTTTGTTGCGACCGACTTGACAACGTACCTGTGAGAACCACGGTCAGTGAGATGCAAGCCTAAACGAACCGGCCAACTCACTTGAACAAGCTGGCTCTGTCGGCCATCTGTGCGATTTCTCCAAACTCAAGCGCGGCCTCAAAGACACCAGGGCCACTCTCCGTATGCCAACCCTCGATATCACATTTGAACTGAGAACAAGTCTCGAAAATGTCATAGAAGTAGTCCTTGTTGTGCACCGTCCGGGTCAAACTGTAGCCAAACATGCCCTCTGTTAAGGACGGCAAAGCTTGCGGGGGGTTCTCTTGCAAGTATCCGGCCGTTGAGCTCGAGGTTTCGGCGGTGCGCGTAGGCGCCTTGAATTGGTAGAACTCGTATTCGGCTGAGTGGGATCACGCGATTAGCTTGCCTTTTCTCCAAAAGGAGAGCAACGACGGAGCGTGTTTGCAGACTGACCTCCAGCCATGGCACCGTAGCCCTTGGCTTGCAACTTGGCCAGAGCATTCTTTAGCAGACCACGAGGGCACGCGCAAATGGGCTCTTGCGTATCCGGATCGAAGAAGCTGACGAGGAAGAAGGGCACATTATCCTCCCAGGGGATGCG